TTCTTATCGCCAGCATAAATGCGTAATTATTTTTTTTACAGAAAAAGTAATTTTTCACCTTTGATTAAGTAACGGGTCATAGAATGCAGATACGAGCATGACAAACACACCTTTGCAAAGCTTGAAGTCTGGCGATTCTAAAAATATATACTTTCCTGGGTCTATTTGTAGTCATTTGGTCACAATTAGAAGATGAAAACAAGTAAGCAAATAATAGTCCCGCTACCTTAAGCACAATTACATGTTGTACACGTATAGTGCTCTCCCCAGATGTTTTAAGCACAGCTGTTTTAACCATGCTTTGATACTGAAATGCCATTCTTGAACATAAACAAGTCAGGTGACAGGTTATTTATATAATAAACATCTGATTGATATGTTATTGATAATATTATGCAAATTATGGGCAGTGATTGGCATGCATGGCCAGTGATTGGTCTTGAAAAGAAAACAAGTTGTAAAATGAAGCAATAGCACCAGTATTTACAAGCTGAAAACAAAGAGTCATAACAAAGAGTCATAACAAAGAGATGACAATAAGAATGATGTATTACATGAATACCAAGGGAATCAATACATAGACTTTGAACTGTCATTTGGATTTATGATATGGAAGCCACTAGGCATTACCCATAATCCTTTAGTCATAAAAAAATCAAGACAGATGGACCCGAAAGAGAGACCTTTCACCTTTTAATGCACTTGTGTTTTTCTTAATTTATTTCACACTGTCAAGTTTTTCCCCAGGAACAGAATATTTACTATATTTTCATAAATTTATCCGAAACCAAAATAAATAGTATTTCAGACTCAATACATGTCAACCTAACTGAAAATAATTAAGCCAAGTAATAAATTTGTGAAAAGTTTCGTTGTGTGATTAAGAAATCAATATATCACATGTATCGGTAGTATCGGTAGAAACTTGAAAACAGTCCAATATATATAAAAGGGAGAAATAAATACCATCTCATCCCCACTTTGGGAATTTCCGAAATTATTATATGCAGTCTGAGCATTACTATGTTTCCATACTGTTACAATCAAGCTGTATGAGCATATTCTTACAATTACTTTATTATGCTAAAATATAGCTAAATATGACAGGTACTGTAAAATACTTATTTTAGCTGGAATTAATTTTTGTTGAAAAGACATTTTTGGTGCTTTGTATGGAATCACTGAATCATTCCTTCAGTGAAAATAAATTCCAAACGAAAATAAAGTATTCTACAGTAATTGAAGAAGTTTCATCTTCGTTCTTAGAGAAAAGTGTTCATTTCAACTTACCGGTAATCTTTCCTTTTTATTAGCATGGCGTAATTCATGCCAGATCAGGGATTGCGTTAACCCCATATTTTGCTTCCCGGACTCCAATTATTGAAGAGTGACCCAATTTTTCAGGCAAGCTGGGGTCCAATCCCTAATAAAGTTATCCAGGGTCAAATTTCAATTTCTTAAAATTTTGTAAGTGGGACTCATCTTGCCGAGACACGAGCACAAACCCTGGCTGTTCTTCATATCAGATGCCAGCAAGAAATCTAGTATTGGCAATGATCATGCTCAGATTTTTTTTTACTCGCGTACATTTTGACACACCCATACAAAAATTATTCTATGTATTTTTTTTATTCACATGTCCTGTAACAGTCATGTTTAAAAAATGTGATTATAATTCATGTTAAAAAATATTTATAATTGATTTCACTTAGGTGATGTTTGGTTAATTTGGTTATAATTGCGATAGTATTTGGAAAGAATAAGACTAGAACAGACAAGTGTGGGTAGCAACGATCAAAGTGTACGATACATAAGCAATACAGTCTGTGTACAGAGCTGTGCAGGAGTCACTGGGACAAATAACACACAAATAAATGCTATATCTTATATTTAACTTTTCAAATTCTTAAATGTGTGGTTTATGAGTAAATATTTTTTAATACCAAAATAAATATATTATTATTCTTGGCAAAACCTTTCACCTAACACCACTGTCTCTGTCCATAATTAGTGACACATTAAAAGCATGCATATATATATATATAAAGTTATAGTAAACAAATGCTAGTCATTTTTAGAATTGCACAATTCGTATGTACAAACATTTGTGCATGAGTTGAGTATGGTAACCATAGTTACCAGAATTATCAAGATATGGGCAGTGGGATAATGTTTTGTGATAACGTTTTCTCACTCAACCTATGGCTATATGTATGGGGCAGCATGCTACCACAATAAAATCAATGCAGCTGCACGAATTAAAAACTGGGATTTAGTACAATGCAACTTAGCGTAGAATCTACGAACAATCAGTCAGGTCTTGATTGTCAATTTGATCATCAATTGAAAATGACATCATAAATATTGTCAATCACATAATTTTAAATAACGGTCCACAGTAGCATTTAAACTGGTCAATGAAAGGAAGTTATTTTACATTTTACTTACAGGGATTCAGATTTGACAGCACAAATTATGTGACATTGCAAATAGTTAATTAGGTAAACTGGACATCCACACTAGGCAGTTATTGTAGAGGTCAAACGACCTCAGAAATCATGTAGATTATAGGCTAATTAAAATTGTATTTATCAGGGGGTGTCTGTGTTATTATTATCACATTTATCTTTAATCATTACGCTTTGTTTTGAATACTTTAATTTTAGCTGTAAGTATCACACACCACATTAGAGAAGCAATTACAACTGCCATTTAGCAGGAACAGAAAAACGGGTTCAACTTTGCTGACTTCTGGCAAAGATCTCAATAAAAAATATATGGCAATAAAAGTCATATGATGAATCATTATAAATGAATATACACTATCATTCACTGTAGATAATTTATGATGACAACTACATTTAGTCAACAAGAACACTTCCACCTTTCTGTGTCAGATTTGTTTGGAAATTTACTAAAAATCTGAATTAAAAATTGAATTATGAAAATTATCATGTATATGGGAAATGATTCTCTTCTTAATTATCATATTTACTACAAACAAACAAATAAATCACTGAGCTTAAAAATCAACAGTTCATACATCAGTTAGATTGTCAATCAGTGACGGGAGTGCGATAACAGGTGCCAAAATAACAACAGAAAGAGCTCTTTTTGTACCCACAATCCTAACTACACTAACATGTGTCCTTAGGATGGGCATATAACAATTATATTCTGGACGGTATTACAGACACTTGTAACATCTTGGCAGGACTTTCTATCCTGACTAATGGCAGACAAAAAAATTAATTTAGAGTTGAGAAATAAAATTATAGTATGCTTAATGCCCTTCCTTTTTGAGTGTTAGTAACCATGATAATTCAGAAAAGAAATGGCAAATTTAGAGATTTTTTGTAAATGTTCAAAATAAATAAATACAAGTACTAAATTCATTAATGACAAGTAAAAATAAAGCAATTTTGGTGTAAATGAATAGTGAAAAGTTTAGCCATACAAGCTGATAATCTTACTATGATTTTTTTTTATATACAACTTGGTAATTAACTAAGAATTGAAAAATATCAACAAGCATCATATATAATTTTATATAAAAATGTAATATATATAGTTTGAGATATTTAGTAGATATTTAAAAATAATCACAATGTACAAGGAAACCAGACAGCACAGCAGTTGATGTAATGCGAAAATACTATGACTATCAGAATAGGTCACGTATATCAGTCATCCACACATGTTGTACACGCCGTGTCATCTAAGACAAACTGTTGATCCAATTTTAGTAAAAAAAAAACATATTGTAAACTAGAATGTCATAATTTAACGTACTTAAAGGTAAAACATTGACATTACGTGGGTGACAAATCCGCCCATATGTAAAGAATCAAAGAGCAAGGTCGCCCACTATTACGAGTTTGACACGAGTTATGCTTTTATAAACACACCCAAATTTCACTACAGTATTCATATAACCCAGACATAGGCATATTTGAGCTAATAGTAATATGATCATTTAAATATTTGGTGTACATATTAAATTATATGACTACATATTGGGGACAATGCCACCACTGTTACAAGTCTATGATTACATTATTTTACGAGTTTGTTTAATTGAGAAAGAGAGAGTTCAATCGCGACACACAATTATCGTGTGAACTTTTGTCTACACAGTCAATTAACGTACTGAGGTTTATTACTTCGCAATGTCGTTGGAAAGGATTCAGCTTACCATATGTTCAGTGATGTTGACCTTATATGATGCCACAATCTAAATGTCAAATGCATTTCCTACACAGGAAGCTGAAGGGCCGCAATTTTCTGAATGAATGTCTTCAATTTTGGAAATGCTCGATTTCATTCTCCGTCAGATAATCTCTGCTGAGCTTTTTTATATCCGCATATCAACTGTCGTGCACAGATCAATATAGCCAGATCACATTATTAACGTAGATATGGTCGAACAATAAACAAAATATATACATAATTTGATCGATTAATTCACTCTTACCTCGCACAGCGTCCCCAGTAAACGAATACACAGAAATGGGTAAAAAGATACTAGGTGGAGAAGGAGTCAGGTGACGTCACCGAACTATAGCCTCGTTCCAAAAACACGTACACAGAAAGGAAAAAAAAGTGCAATTACAATCGTCTTGGAAGATTAAACATAACAAATTCAACAATTTTTTCAATTTACTAATATTTACTTTTGTAATTTAATACTTATCGGGTTTTTACAGGCTCAAAATAAGAGAAGAATCTTAAAAAATATCCGGTTAAAGGTCATTTGCATTCCTATCGCTTGGCGGCGCTATGTTCAGTTGTTTCCACTTCCTGTCTGTTTGGCTTCCCTTCATTCCAACTCTTTCTTCGCTTCAGCACGCTGCGTTTTGGTATCACTGTTTCCTTCATTTTTTATTCACCTTTCAACATTCTATTCGTGTTGTATATCTATTTGTTTGCATCATTCATCGCTTCTTTCATATCATTCCCTGCCTTTATTTTTTATTTTCGTGCTGAGGCTTTTGTTTTGCGACCACTTGACATTTCATTTTCATACGCTTTGTTCACCACCATGCTTGTTTTTCACCCCCTCCCAATTAATCAAATTGATACACTTGATCTTATTTGATTGAACTGGTTCAGTGAACTTGTTTCAAAATGATAAGTGGCTAAACTGGAGCCCCAATGGCGTTTGTTGCCTGGGCGATGAACAGTGATAGTCTATGATAGGAGATGATGATATCATGAACGGATATATGAGGTCGTATTGTGGTTGCGATGCCGTTCGACCAAATGAATTCACCGTAATTTGATACTGATCCTTGAGTGCCAGACAAGAGTAAACTTCGAAGAGTTTATGGTCTATTCACAGTCCCTCTATAAAGTGACTTTGGTCTGTTTTAGCATGGACTTCCATGGTTGTAGCATGGAACCGGGTTTATAGTTCCATGGTTGTACTTTGGCGTTGAGAAAATAGTCGAGACCATACTGATCCAGTCTATGTTTATACCAACCGTCAACGTAGCGTACGTGTTCCTGAGTATTTGGTCTCTCGAATACTATTGTAATTTTATTTACATTGAGATATGGTCGCGTCGACGCGGTGGGTCGAGATGACCATGGGTTTCTGGGCCGAGATGCTCAATTTTGGTCGAAATGTCTAAAAATCACAAAGAATGGTTCATCCTCAACTTTAAAATTCCTCAGATTCGCACTCCTGTCAAATCATTTACTAGTAGTTCAGATCGTTATCACATTTTTGAATAAAGGTTCCCCCACATGCACATTGTTTCTATTGTGTGCATTCTAATAATTGTTTACATTGTTTACCAAAATAGGCCTTTGAGGGGGCATTGCTACAATAGTGCTAGCTTGTGCATGTTATACCTAGGTAAATAAGTCGTAACAGGAGCAAGATGTGCTGTGGCAGTCACTACATGTGTCGGAAGCAAGATGTGCTTTACTTCTGTGCACAACTTCCTGTTTTTTGACATTGAAAAACGCTATAACCTTAAATTGCTCCTAACAGTACCACAAATGTGTGCTTCACCTTTTCCAGGACGAAACCATCTCCACACAGATAAAACTTCATGAAACAAAACCCTCCAGGAAATTTTGGATGATGCCGAAAAATGCTATTGTATTCCAAAGTAATAATGCAGAAATTGGTCCAATTTTAGCATCTGAATACACTGGTTGTGCTAGATATTGGGAGAGTGGAAAAGCTTCACAAAAATGAAAATGTAACTTTCGTCAGTCCCTTTACAAGCAATAAACCACTTTCTTTATTTATTGCCACCATGATCTTGTGGTGACAAGTTGCTCAATATTGAATATAAATTTCTGGTGACAGTAAATATGTTTGGCCTGTATTGTTGAAGAAGGAACATTTTTTCATCTAATCACGTCATGTCAATTTCTTTGTAGTGCAATTAAACATCTCCCTATCAATTCTTTTAACAACATTGTGTTATGAATAATCTTAGTGGTTAATGATTTGCATTCAACCATGATTGGAAATTTGCATATTGTAAGTCCCACATTATTTATTTGAAATTCAATTGTACTCTTTTGATCAAAGTCACTTATTCAAACATAAAATATTCATAGAATTAAAAAAATAAGTTAGTATTTCAAACAATTCCTTCACTCAAATTCTGATTGCAATGAGTTTTCAGAGAAACATCTTAGCAGTGCTAAGTGCCCTTTCTGAAGTGCAAGTTCTGCATTTCTACAAATGCATACTATTTCTATGGTAAGAAATATGGAGAAGCTTCAGGCCGTGTAGACAAAGGTACGACTGGTTAAAATAAGTCTTGTGTACAATACATGCAATTTGTGGCTTGTGTGCACTTCTAAATTGTGCAATTATTGTATACATTTTGTAGCAGCACTTTGAACAAATAATAGGACTGGTGTTGACAAAATAACTATATACCAATACAGGTAGAAACAAAAGACAGGCTGATGTTCTTTGTTCAACATCGGTAGTGTGTATACAATATATTGTTCTAGTGTGATGATGGCATTTGTTTTTATTCAGGTTCATGACTGTAATTACATTACTTGGTTAGATCCAAATATGAACTACAAACACCTGTACTAGTCAGGATTGGTGTCCACATAGTATTTCAATACAGTAACAATAAGTAAAGCAACTCTGGGACATTGATTATATCGATGAAATAACTACAATCCTGTCTTTATAGAAAATTAGATTACATGTACATGCATGTGTACTTTTAGTGTAGAGTTTGGGACAATATCACCTGCATTGAGCTGTATTTATATTCCATATCAACAGCATATGAGTTACACGTACAAAGTATATAAATCTCTAAACCATCAACATACCCACCCTGCCTGCCTGCCAGACTTTTCTTCACTTATAATAAGTCAAATTCAAATGGCTCTACATTTAGAACATTGAATTATGCATACACATAACATCAAAGCAACTTACAAACCTATGCCGATATAATAAATATACAAAAACTAATAACGGCCTGTCTGAAGCAAAAATGGCGCCCTCTATATTGATATATATATATATGTCACCAGAGGGCGCTTTGTGTACCATAAAGCTGCAAGACTGAGGCTTACAAATATATTCTCTTCAATTTGAGTTTAAATACTTTTCATAATATTTTGACTGACAAATATTACTAGATGCATTACACATATTTTAAAATTTGTGTTCATTGGGAAATTGAATAGTTTATGTTATGCCCTAGTACAAAAACATCAAAAGATGCCAAATTGAGTTAAAGGGCAGTGGTCGTTGCACCACACATGCGGCAGATACAGAACTCATGCGAACAAAGATGGCGACTTTGACAAAGCAACGAGTGCAAACTGAGGCGTTACCAAGATTTAACTAGGTAATTTCTTTGATGAATGGAATGGATTATCATTAGAGGGAAAATCAATGTTTACCAAAACAAATGTCACACATGCACAGCGCGACGACCACCGCCCTTTAATTACGTGTCTAGTACATATCCATTACACAGACAAAAAAAGATTAAGATTAAGTCGAGTTGAAGGAATATTTTTCTAGCGAAGCAGCACATTGACGTCAATGCACGTGAAGCCAAATTCACTGCATCCCGACATATAACACAACAACATTCAAAATCACAAAAATGTCTGCATTCCAGAAAGGCAACATTTAAAAAAGACAACAGGAATTTACATTCATTAAATTCGACTAAAAGCACCTTAATAACACAACAAACTATAAGTACATACACCTTCAAATGCACACTCAATACAAGTAGTATCACTAAATTTCAATTTAAACCGTGGAAAAGTCCCACAATTTCACTGTTTTATCATAAGAGCCAGACGCAATCATACTGTCGTTGAACTGCAGGCATGTCACTCCATCTGTGTGATGACGCAGAGTCACCAGTCTCTCACCAGTCTCATGTTCCAGACTTTCAATGTTTTATCATCAGCTGCACTGACTATTCTCCAGCTGTCTGCTTGCAAACACCTGCAAATAAAACCAAACTACTTTAAAAATACTTTATTTAGCTGGAATTAATTTTCGCTGAAAAGGCATTTTGGATGTTTTGTAATGGAATTTATTTTCACTGATTGTTTGTGAGATGAATGTAAAATATAGGAAAAAAGGTATATTTGCTGGTTTTTATTTTTACTGAACCATCCCTTCAGCAGAAATGATTAATTTGACGGTATGTGAATGTTTGGAATATCAACACTAGAGGGCGCTATGCAGATTGGGCTGAGTTACTACACACATAAGCTGTGTTATTGCATCACATGGTTCCAGATAGTCCATCATTGCCACCTTGATTATTCTGCATTAATGTTGCAGTTTTGTATTTTTTCAGATGTCAAATGTACGGTAAAATTGATTGTGAGAAAGAACAGTTGTCATGGAAACATATATGTAATAATGTAACATGACAACCACACTTTGGAGATGCTCTATTCTAAAATGCAACAGTTGATTTCTAACAGAATTATAGCATGTCAGATGACACTCATTTTGTCTTCATGCATTTGTGAACATAAGAATTACAGTATTAAATAAAATTTTTACCTGACAACCCCAGTATGACCTTCTGAGTTGGCCCAGTCCAACGTACTTGTACACTCTCCGGTAGTGATATCCCAGAATTTAATATTACTATCTAGAGAACCACTGATTATCTTCTTAGCATCAAACTGTAGACAAGTTACAGCGTCTTGATGGCCTTCTAACGTCATTAAACATACACCTAATGATATGTTCCATATCTGTAGCCGAGACAAGATAGTATTTGTGAATCTACAAATCAGAATTTGTTATGAAATTTCTTAAAAGCGTTTCTTAAAAAAAAAACACGACATCACTCACTTTAATTGTTTTGTCGCAAGATCCAGATACAATTTTATCATCGTCAAACTGAAGACAGAGAACTGCTGCAGTATGTCCTCTGAAATAAAGACAGTTAAGTCGTGCATTACCGGTATATTGTAATTATTATTATTTGAATTCTTATATAGCGCATTACATAAAACATATAATCTCAATGCACTTTACATAAAAATAGTTATAAAAAATACATTA